GTAGAATAGAAGAAGTAGTTGGTATTTTTATTTATTTAAATACAAACATTGGTACAAAGGGGGAACCAAATGTACATATTGTCACACTTAATCAGTTACCTCCATGAATGACTTCAGTGCTTCAACTGTTATATTATCTGGTTCTGCTGATCTCTTTTATTGTGTTGAGATGACAGCTATGAGAAGGTCTATGTATGCTAGTTCGATGTCCGATGCTAGTCTATTGAAGAGTTATTCAAAGTGCTTAATCCATCTCTTTCTGTGTACTTAAATCTCAGTGATTGTCTTGCCTTCTTTGTTGTTGACAGTTTGCTCTGGTTTACTATAGTTCCTTGTTAGTTTCTTTATTCGTTTTATAGTTAATTCGTATTTCGTTCTCTTACAGCTCATTCCGCTCTAGTTACTAGGTCTTCCACGTATTTCTGCTTATCAACTCTAATGTTCCTCATCACATGCTTGTTTGCTTCAGTGTATTTATTCAGCTTGTGCCTTGACTTTCTCTGCTATTGTTCGACTGTTTTTAATTGCTGTTACTTTGTTTTTCCTTTCTTGAATCCTACCACTATCGTTAACACCTCTCTTTTGTTGATAATAAGAAAACAGGTGCAAATTACCTATATATATAATAGGTTCAGGGTTAAACTATTCTGAGCTTTTCTTCAAAGGATATTTTATTGAGAGTTCTTTTCTTGTTTTATGATAAGTTTACCATTGTATAAATTGATAGTGTCTGTTGTGAGATATCATCTCACTGAAGACAATGGTGTACGATGGCGCAATTTTGTGGATCAGTTAAAGTTAAAATTTAACACCGTTGGATGCCAGCCGACTCAGTGGTCTAATGGTTAAGCGCTCGCTTGTGACTGATAGGTCCTGGGTTCGAATCTCGTGAGGCAGGATCGTTGATGCTCACTGCTGAGGAGTCCCATACTAGAACGAAACGACCGTCCAGTGATTTCAGGTTTTCCATGGTGATCTAGCTTCAATTGATTCATGATTTCAACTATTGGAATGACTAAAATCTCCACAAAATCCTTTCTTATTTACGCGTACTATATGACTTGTTTTAAATGTAATAAAACTTCTAAAAATATGTTCAGTATCTCAATCAGTCGATCACATTAACTTTTTTTCTGGAATTTTCAAAACTCGTGTATCATCAAATCCCCATGGTGTATAATACTTTCACCTTTAAAGAATAATTGTCATAGATACTACGAAATATATATAGATATCTACTATTTTTTGTTAAACCTATGCAATTACTGTTGGTTGAAGTATGACATAAATTTTAGACGTGTTAAAAAGCTTGTGACTTAAGTCTATATCAAGGCAATCTACACAGGATTCATATATACCAATATGAGATTGATCAATTACAGTCCTAAATCACAATGTGAAGATACAAGTAAAACAATATTAAGTGAATTTAAACGTCACCCTATTGCACAAGTAGGTGGCTATGAGGACTCAGTAGCTAAATGAATAACTTGATGGCGTTTGAAGCGAACGGTACTGGGTTCGAGTCCCAGAGTGAACATCAACAAGTCTGTGATGTAGGTACATCCAGCTGACGAGTCCCAAACAGGGTGAAGTGGCGCGCTTCAAACTGAATTACATTCTTAGTCACTATCCATGTTTGCTTAAAAAGTTTATGACTTAAGTCTATATCGAACTAATCCACACATAGAATACACATATACCAACATGAGATTGATCAATTATAGTCGTAAATAACAATCAAAACATACAAGTAACAATACACCAAGTGTATGTTTAGAGGATAGAAGTTGCGTTTGTTACCATCCAATTTAGCATAAAATACCGATCATTATTGTTCAACTCAATCTATCCCTATACTTTCCTTCTGTTTTGATTATTTACATAAATTCTTATTATAAATAAACAATAGTATTTGTAAAATATCGGCGAAAGAATTTAAAATAAATCCATTATTTTTTCTTGAAGAAGTTTGAATCAGATTACCAGGCGAAACATTCTTCCTGTTTATTAATGTATCACATTAACTCGACACCGAAATATTGTATAACATTAACATTGTTCAGATTAGTGAACATTCAATAATTTTCAATTAGTGATATATATGATATGTGAATGTTGTTTATTCGATCCATTATATGGTAAGGTAGAACTTACGGAATATATTCTATGTATTCCTTTTCTAGTAATAGAAATAGAAATGGTGTTCATATTTACAATGTATTAAATAGAAATAAACAAAATAGATTTTAGTAATTTAATAATTGAATTCATGAATCAATCAATTAGTCAGTAAGTCAGTTACAATGTCGGACCAGGCACATATATAGGCATCAGTTCAAGTTGCCAGAACTCACTCGATTAACACAGCAAGATGAACACCGGATTTATAGATGTAGTTTATTCAATGGTCAGCAATTTGAAAAACTCTCCCAGTCTTCCACATTGTACGAGCATTCTATGTACCTAAATAAATGGTTGCTCTGTTTATCAGAAGGGGCATTAGCCTCGTGACTTACGAAGAAATTCAGCTGTTATCATGAGCCGTTATACCTCTTCTAAAAGAATACCTTCTGACTCCCAGAGCAGAGTTTAAATAGTTTGAATAATTTTTTCTGATTAGCGTTTTTTTAGCGAGTTAGTTTTCTACGGGATGGGGTCGCTAACTCCATGCCCAACCCTCCTCCTTTATCCGAACTTGGGACCGGCAGTAGCCCCCAGAAGGACTCCAGGCGGAGTTCAATTCAATGGTAGTAGTAATATATAAAAGAAAGATTACATATAAAGATATAGGTAGTATAGGATTAAAGAATTAACTGGTAGAATCAATTAAAACTAGATCACTATAAAATAAAAATTTCGAAGCATTAAACAGCTATTCTTCAACAGTACACATTCATGATCTTATCTCTATATAAGTATTCGAACTAAGGATTTATTAATCTTCTTTTTTTTTGTTTGTTTTTACTATTTATTTATTTTTATTAATCTAATTAATTACATCATAATCTTCTATGTAGATTTTAGTTGATTAATTCATTTTATATGATATTAATTGTATGTAGGTGTTTATTATCTCATTTACCTACCTACCTTCCCACCTACCCACCTACCTACTTAGTAATTATGCTTAGTTTTTAATCACATTATGAGTCATTTTGTTCCTTTTTTTTCCTTTTTTTTTGCAAAATGTATCATTCAATAATAATGTGCCAAAAAAAATGTTGGTGTTGTTTTTTTCTTGTACTAAGAGAAAATCTGAGATTATGTCATGGATTATTATTATTATTACCATTACCATTACCATTACTACTACCATCACTATTATTATTATTATTATTATTATTATTATTATTATTATTATTATTATTATTATTATTATTATTATTAGTCTATGTAACTGTATTATAAATTGATATATTTTTTGTTGCCATGTTGATTATCAAGTTGATTGATTGATTGATTAATGGAATGGTGCCAAGTATAAAACTCACACTAAATAAAAACATATTCTCCCTTTTCAATTTTGTATTGAAAAAAGAAAGAAAGAAGAAATACTATTGATGATAATGATGATTTGCTTATAATATGATATATAACTAAATAATCAATTATAATATACATATATCTTTCTTAGACATTTCATAATTCTTTTTGAATAAGTCTTGCGAATTTGAACGCTATACACGATTCCTAAGCTATTCTTGAAACCCCTCAAGCTAGAACTATTATACAGCGATCTGAACACGAGAGAGAAGGCGTAAAGTATGCGAAAAGTACTTTACTCCAATGGTTCATTTTAATACAGAAATTTTTGGGGTTTTTATAATATTCTAAATGTCCTTGGGTTGCTCGAAGATTCTGGAATGCTACTAAACGTAGTAGCATTATAACAATCAGCTAATCAGAACCTCTACATGTGACGTTTCACATCCTTGATGTTTTCTGGCTAAACTCCAACTGAACGCTGATTGGATGAGATGCTTCTTAATGTTTCCTGATCCTTGTGTGTCGTTTGTGAGAAATTTTCTGGATCATCCCAACACTTTGATCAAGATTAGTATATCATTATCTTATATTATGTAATTCAATGATTAATATGATTACATAATCTTTGTTATGTAATATACAAGAAATTAAGAGAGGGAAGAGGATTACGCCTGTTACTCTCAATAGAAGAGCTTAGGCTGCCGACCAGTATTCTCCATTCCACACTCTCCTGAGCCTTCCCTTCCAGTTCTATCCAATTTTTTTCATTTTTCTCATGTCTGTCTCCATATCTCAAAGTAATGTGTTCTTTGGTCTTCCTCTTCTCTTTTGGCCTTGAAAATTCCATGTGAGGGCTACAAAACGTTAACTGATTACATAATTTCTTATCTTTGTTAAACTTCAAATTTCTTTGTTTTTATTCCAAATCTTATGATATAAATTATGATATCCAACAACATTCAAAAGTAAGAAACACCATATGTTAACTAGAAACAAGCTTCAAGTGGTAATTCTTGTAAATCTAATGAGTAGACCATGTGCACCATTGGTTTGGAATCCGGTTAAAGCTCCGGACATTCGCTTTTCGTCCTCTCATTTTCGTAAACAACACCGGTGTCACGTGAAGGCAGTGAGTAGGACATCCCTGGCAGAGGCTATATACGCATGGCCATGTGAGAGCATTTCGAGAGGGTGAGCGAACTCTCCTCACTCTCGGCCATACAAGGGCATTTGGGGGCCGATGGGGGCACATTGTGAATTTATTGAAATGATCTAAACATTAAACAATCGTTGTAGTACAAAACATGCGTTTGATTCCTGGTGGGGGTTTTTTTATGCTCACTGCTGAAAAGTTATCTACTGCGACGAAATAACTGCATAACACTTCCTGGTTGTTAACTTCTGTCTAACTAAGATTACTTGGCGATGCAATTTTTTGAGCCTTTTTTACAGTATTACTATAATCAATTCAGATATATATTCTTTGACGTCTTTTGTTTCTTATTTTCTAGATTGTTTCTTCTCACATTATCTTGTATATAATACTAGTTCATACAATCATCCTAATACTAATAGAAACAATAATAACTCTAAAATTACTCATCAACCTAATTTAATTCTAATCAGTTTAAATGGTCTAATCTGGTATCAAGGTAATATATTAGCTGGTACTAATGATCCAGATCCATTGGGTCAACTCAATTGGCTTCGACAAACCTTTGAATGGGCAAGAAAACGAAAGGATAAAGTAAGTTTCTAATTCTTTGAAACAATACTTTGTTACATATTGGATGTATATATATATATCAGAAGGGGTTTTGTGGAGATTGTAGTCAATTGAGGCTAGACCACTATGAAAAACTTGAAAGCACTGGACGGCCGTTTCGTCCTGTTGTGGGACTCAGCAATGAGCATTCATGACCACACCTCGCGAGATTCGAACGAAGGATCTATCAGTCTCGCGCGTCCGAGCGCTTAATTACTAGACTACTGAGTGGGGATCCAACGGTGTTAATATCTAATTTCAACCAATCCACGCAATTGAGTTACACATCCACCATTGTCATCAGTGACTTATATATGTATATATAATGGTAGTAATGCAACCCAAATACTCTTCAATCGAACTTGTATTATGTCTTCCGCACAACTTTTTTTTTGTCGAGTTTCCTGAACTGTTATATCATATCTTATAATGACATCAACTGTCTGTCATTACTTATTTGATTTTTTAATCAATAAGATTCATTAAGTTAATTATTGTAGAAGAATATAATTTGACGTTAAGTTTAAATATTTTACACCTATTACTCCTTGTGATGGAGCATAGGCCGCTCAACAGCATTCTCCATCCAACCCTGTCCTGGGCAATCCTTTCCAGCTTTTTCCAGTTGTTATTCATCCTTTTCATATCTGATTCTATTTACCGATGTAATGTGTTCTTTGTCCTTCCTCTTTTTCGTTTCCATTCACGATTCCATGTTAGGGCTTGTCTCTTGGTGCAGTTTGATGATATGCATAGTGTATGTCCTATCCATTTCCATAATCTTTTCCTAATTTCCTTTTCAGATGGAAGTCGGTTTGTTCTCTCCCACAGAAGGATGTTGCTGATGGTATCCGGCCAATGGATATTGAGTATCTTGTGTAGACAACTATTTATATATACTTTTACCATGTTGATGATGGTTGTAGTAGTTCTCCACGTTTCAGTTCCGTACAGTCAGACTACCTTGATGTTCGCATTGAAGATTCTGAATTTGATATTGGTTGAGAGACAGTTGTTTTTATTTCCATATGTTCTTCAATTGTAGGAATGCGGCCCTTGCTTTGCCAATCCTTGTCTTTGCGTCTTCATCTGATTCTCCTTGTTCATCGATTATGCCTATCGGGTATGTGAAGAATTCTACATCTTCTAGAGTTTCACCATCAACAGTGATTGGATTGCTGTTCTTTGTGTTGTGTTTGAGGACCTTGTTTTTCCCGTTGTGTATGTTGAGGCCTACTGATGCCGAGGCTTCTACTACACTAACTGTCTGTATAATTTAACCGAACATAAATGTATTGAATTTTATATTGTCATATATCCATCATATAAACCAATAGAAATACAAGATCAGTACAGGTTTACTATTATATCTGATTTTTTTCTCCCACCCTATTTATTATTCAACAGTTTTTCTTGTTTTTCTTATTATTTATTTTTATAAGGTTTTACTTGTTAGTCATTTCCCTCCGGGTGTATCAGAGAATGCTCCACAATGGTATCAATTTCTTCGTTCAGAAATGAATGATCAATTTGTTAATATATTAATTGATAATGCAGATTTATTAATGACTGGATTATTTGCCCATGAACATGTTGATAGTTTTCGATTATTAGTCAATAAATCAAGTTAGTATTCATATACATGTATATATATATATATATATATATATATAAACTATTGGTATCTTAGTAATTTGTTTAATTCACTAGTTTCTCATATTACTATCAATGTAATAGTCGGTATTAATAGTTGTAATAGTCTTATGAGTATAATTACATATATTGATATTCTGTACATAGATATGTGTATAGATATATACAGTTGATTGACAAAACATCATATTAGTAAAGAATTACATAGGTAAACAATCATTCCAGACATTATAGATGTAACAAATGTTTGAGTTTTCATACAAGACTCATTAAAGACATTCACTGATTTCTATATATATATGTATAACTTTAGACTTCTTATCTTAGGTTATTTATTTTAATACATAAACATTGGTACAAGGAGGCACGAAATAGATATGAGCAATACATAAATTATTCAATTTGTGTGAGAGTTGGAATACTACCCTTTTATACTTCTCTCTTACGCGTTATAATCTAGCTATTCGTATTGCTTAGTATTGTCGGACAACAATTCACTCGACAAGGCCCCAAATCAGAACACGATTAAGCAGGAAGGAGATTATATTCCAAATAAGAAGGTTAGATGGAAGTAAGAAACACAATAGGATAAACGTTAGTATATTTATAGTTATTTTTACATGGGAAGATTTCTAGTGTATTCTCCAAGTGTCGGCTAGCGCTGATTGCGTAAGAATTAACCAATCAGCGTGCGCCAACGCAAACGTGCATTGAGCATTCTTTAATCCATGTGTCCAAACTGAAGCAAATGGTTTAGAAGACGAAGATGCAATCTCATGGTAGCCGGTGACCAACGATTATTATTATTACTATTTTAACACATAGATATTGGTACAAGGGGGCACCAAATGCATATGCGCCACACAGATCTCATTGGATATGTGTAAGGGCTGTGATACTTCCCGGGTGCCCAAACCAAAGCAGGTGGTTTTCTTACGGGGTCACACCCCGAGCCTTCGACCTAAAGGTCTGATCCAGAAGGCAGTGGAGCATCGTAAGAAGATGCAATCCCATGGTAACCGGTGACCAACGATTAGTTCATACATCATTTGTTCGTTCAGGATACTGGAGCCAGCCCATGTGCACCACTGGTTTGGGATGCGGTTAAATCGCCGGACATTCGCTTTTCGTCCTGCCATTTTCGTAAACAACACCGGTGTGACGAGAAGGCAGTGAGTATGGCTTCCCTGGCAGAGGCTGTAAACGCGTGGTCATGTGATAGCATTTGGATGGGCAGAGCGGACTCTCCCCACTCTCGGCCATACCATGGCATTTGGGGGCGACCAACGATTGATTCCTACACCATTTATTTTCTTCAAAATATTGAAATCCATGTAGACTATTGGTTTAGAATGAAAGTTTTGCAATTTCCCTAGATAGACTCTCTATTATCCACTAACCAAACATTCGATTTTCATTCTATCAATTTCCTAAACATCAGTAATATCACATGAACGTAACGATTAGGATTTATAATTTATCATTCATTCATTCATTATTATTTTTTCTTCTTTTTTTTTTCTTTCTATATTTTCTTTATTTTAGATATACCGGTAGCATCATTATTTCTTATGCCTTCCATTTCTCCATTACTATTACACGGTTTAGGTGATTTTAATCCACGTATACGATTATATCGATTTAAACGTTCAACAATGACTTTATTAGGTTATTCTCAATATTATTTTAATCTAGATAATCAATTATTGAATATGAATAATTTAATCAATAATTGGCAATTAGAATATGATACATTGAATACGTATCATTTAATTGATTTATCATTTAATTCAATCAATCAATTATGGTATAATTTTTATCAAAAAAATAATAATTATTGGTCAAAATATTGGAAGCATGAATTAGGTGGTCGATTACATAGTTTAAAACCAAATTATCTTACTAATGATGGTTATTGTCCTCAAGCGAAATCACAATGTCGTTGTGATCATTTATGTGCTATGCGATTCTTAATTCTATCTGATTTAAGCAAATGTCTTGAATTATGTAAAAATATACAAAAAAATATAGTTGACAATGATAGTCGTGGTCGTGGTCGTGATGATGATGATGATAATCATTTTCAACATCCAATGTTTACGACTATTTATCATCCGAATAATAATACGTATTACAATCAATCTATTATTAATGATACAAGTATTATACATTTGAATGAACGTAGTAGTTTACCATATATTATTGGTGTAATTGTTGCATTTTTAGTAGTATTAATTGGTATTGTTTTAATTGTTAATCGTGAAGTATGTAATCGACATAGAGTATATCATCAACGTACATCATTATTAGCTAGTGTTATTGGTATAAATAGAATTAATTCTGGAGGTATGAATGGAAATGGTTTATTTTTAAATACAATTAATGGTGCATTACCTATCTCATCATTTTTACATGGATCACGTTCCATATGTAAAACTAATGATTATTGTACTGGTGGTTCATGTATTGAATTACGTACAGCTTTTCATCCATCCTATGATGATTTCTATCCGGAATATGTGAATAAATCTATTACATCTTTAAATGCAATCCCATTCTCCAACGATACTACTACTAATCATAATCATAATCATAAAGAATCAGATCAAATGATGAATAGAGTTGTAGAGAATTCTTTTACTCCATTAGAGCATAATGATACAATTTTGTCACCATCTCATATGATTTCCTATTATGACAATCCTAGTGATAATAGCAGTAGTAGTCATAATAATAACCAAAGTATAAAACAAAACTATATTAGTAAACGATATTCTCTACCGAATTATGCTTATTTTAAAAAATATCTATCTAGTCATATTAATCCAACTGGTCGAATGGTGTATGTAGTGAATCAATTGTTTGATCGTTGTAGTCATACTACTAGTCGGATAAGTCATATTCACAATCATGATACTGTTAATAATAATAATAATAATAGTAATAATCATGCAAGCACTATTAATACAAACATTAATCATTGTAATGATATGTTTAATAAAATCTCATCAATTGATGAAAAAAGTTATACAACATCTGAAAGATCATCTAATTGTCAACATACACAATCACAGAACAATTCTTATCATGATCATGATCATCATCATCATTATCGTCAAAATAATAGTTGCCTTCCTGAAGATTATTATGCTGATGATGAAGCATTCGGTGATGAAGACTATAATGATCTTCACCATAATAATAATAATAATAATAATCATATTTATTATCATTCACAAAAAGATCAAAACAATAAAACAAATAATATCTGTCCTGATATAGTTGCTGATAGTGATAATCATCATCAAGATCAAACGAAATTATCAATCTCATCACATATGGATTATCATCAATTAATGAATGATAAAAAGTTGAAATTAAATCAAATAAAAAAACAATTAAATTCCCATCGAAGTCACCATTATCATCATCATCATCATCAACAACCACAACAACAACAACATGATGATGATCATGTTCATTGTACAAATAGTACAAATGATGAAGATCAAGATTCAATGAATGATCATCTATTTCATTATGATCAAGAATCAAAACTTCTTAATTCTAATCCTAATCATAATGTTCATATTGGTCGAAGGAAATATTTAAAAGATCATAAATTTTCATTTTGTCGTATAAAATCAACTAATCCAAATCATGTATTGAATAATAAACAACATAGTATAAATCATTCATCATTTTCATCATCATCATCATCATCATCATCATCATCATCATCATCATCATCCTATTCTTCTCCTTTAAAATCAATTAATCCTATAGTACATAGTCAATCATTAGTTCTAAATGAAATGAATCGTAATAGTAAAGACAATACTGTTAGTTTATGTAATAGAAAGCATAAATCTAAACATAATTTAAGTAGTATATTAACCTCTTCATTAACATGTTTACCAAATGATTCAGATATTCATTTACACAATAAAATACAAATGATTCAAGAAAAACAACAAAATCCTCATCCTGATCCTGATCATCATGTATATCAACAGTCACAATCAAATTATACATCATTATCTAAATATCAACCAAAATTTTCATTATCAACACCATCTTCATTAATAACAGAATCATTAAAAGTATCAAATTATAATCATGATCCAGATCAACAACCTATTCTTATTTCATTTTCATTACCACAACAAACTAATCAAAAATTATCATTAAATTTAAATCATTTTAATCAATATAATCCAGTACAACATGATCATATAAATAATGATCATGATGATGATGATGATGATGATGATGACGATGATAATGATAAGAAGAACAAGAACAAGAACAACAATATGATCTGTTTTTCTTCAACTACAAATAATGTATCCATTGTAAATATCCCTAAATCTGATTATGTTCAAATGTCTAGTTAATTAGTTTTTATTTCAATTTTTTTTTTATTTTTTAAAAAAAAAATTTATTTTTAGCCTATTTTATTTGTTAATAGATGTAAATAGATTATTATTTATCTTTGATTGTTTCTAACTCTTCCTCCCCCCCCCTCTATTTGTCTCTCTTCCCCCACCCCCACTTTATCTGTCTCGTTCTCCCTTTCTGTGAACAAAAAAAACGCACAAATTTTACACATATTGAATGAATGATTAGTTGTGTTTGTTTGGACCGGGGTTTGTGTGTGTGTGTGTGTGAGTAAGTGTGTAATGTTGAAATCCTTTGAAAGGTATTTTTTTTGTCACATTTTTATTGATTCATTTTTTGTTTGTTTGTTGCTTTGGTATCTCTTTTGTTCTAATCAATACAAATATTAATCTTGTCATCAAAATTCAAGAAGAAAAAAAAACGCAACTATTTAATATCATCTTTCTATGTTATATAGAATGTGTATGTATAATGCTTATTCTTAATGGATTCCCCTTTCGCTTCATCCCACCCCCTCTTCCACCATGACAACTGTACATTGATGTACTCATTTCTTTTTTCTTTTTTTAAAAAAAGAGCATAAGTGTGGGGGAATGTATTTGCTCTATCTAGTCTGTTGATTCATAGAAGAGAATGTATCTATGGTAATGATTGTTATTCATTGAATTGAGTTATATACAATATCATTATTAGGTTATAAAGGTAAAATTTTTTTTAATTATTATTATTCTAAGTCATTTATAATTATTATCAATGATATTTTAATTGAATTTTGTTAATTATTAAAAACAAGCTGATTGCTCATTGTGTATAGACTTGTTTCCTACCTTCTTTCATCTTCATCTTTGTTTTCTTTTATCTAAAAACAAAATCCAATCAGGGTTATGTGTATATTGTAGATGTACTATATGTATACTGATCCTTTTTATTGTATTCCCTTGCTGTTATTATTATTGTTGTTGTTGTTGTTGGCCTGATTTTCCTCAATTTCTATTCTATTCTATACATGTAATTTAATTAGGCGATTATAGGGGGGGGAGGTTTATGTTTAAGTAAATTTTCATTTATATAATATATAATAATATGAACAAGTAGAATAAAACAATCTATTTGTACATATATCAAATATCCGTCTATCAATTAACGGATGAGTTTGTTCTGTTTTACTTCATGGCTGTGAAACATATCCATTAAAAGTAAACAAAATTTGTAGGTTACTAGTATTTGATCATACATGTCTTCGAAACATTGCTCGTATATCCTGGGATCACTGAGTAAGTAATGCAGTTGTTAGGAAACGGGTACTAGGTAAGCATGGCAAATCAATTTATAAGGTAGTGAAACTTCATCAGTTGAGAAGGCTGGGACACGTGTTACGTATGCCCAACGACCAACTGCCTCGACATGCGATGTTTTATGGTGTAGGAATAGGTTGGAAGAAAGCTAGGGGCGTCCAGACCAAAACATGGCACAAATCCATGAATTCACTGACAAGTGGACTGAGTCATGTTGGTAGGTGTAGACTACCTGATTGGGGACCGCGAGATCATAGCAACCAATGGTTAGAGACTGAATGAAATGGTTGAAAATCGTTTGCAATTGCGCAGGTGCATCCACTCTTTGTGTTCTCTCAAATTCTAATCTTCTGAATTCGTGTCTCTTTCCGATTACTGCTTACACTTTTACTACCTCTACTGCTGTGGAATTTGAATTGACAATTGTGTCTGTGTGCTAATGTGGTATGGCGACTTGAACTGATGTACGTACGTACGAAGTTCTACGTTGTTACTGACTGACTTATGATCAATGAACTCCTCTTATACATTTGTCTAATCTGTTATATGAATGTGAAGATATAAATGACTAGGGAGTTGTAATTAACAAACTGAATGATCTATACACAGTGTAGATAACTATCTGTTCTGATTTAAAGAAGGAAATATGATCACTTCAATCAATAAGCCATCATTGCCCAATATTGGCAGTATTATGACAATGGTTCATTGTTCATCAATTTGTAACTGCTTCTCAATAATATGACATTGAGTATTCTCTCTCTCTTTAGAATATCTTCTACATAACTAATAATAGATTAGCTGACATTTTTATTGTATTTTTGTCATATGAATATTAATGGACGATGTAGATCCTCGCTTTTTCACACACTCAATTAAAAGAGCACCAAATATACGTGTACCTCATTTCATCACTTGATTTGTGTAAAGTTGGGATATTGCCCGGGTGGCTAAATGGAAACAGGTGGTTTTCTTAGGGGGCCACACTCCGAGCATTTGACCTAGAAGTCTAATCCATAAGTCAGTGAAGCGACGTTAGGAGATGCAGTTCAGTGGTAGATGATGACCAAGAATGCGTGCACACTCTATTTGTCCCCTCAGGATCTTAGAGTCCATGTGTATCATTGGTTGTAATGAAGGTTTTCCGATTATCGTATGTAAACCCTCCATATCCACCAACCGTGTTAAATCTCCGGACATTCACTTTTTATCTTCTCAATATTGGTAAACAACACTTTCGCCTCGTGAAAGCAGTAAGTAGAACAGTGGTTATATGCACGTGGCTAATATGACAACATTTGAAGAGGGACAGTTGACTTTCTCCATTCTCGGCCATACCAAGGAATTTGAGGGTCGATGAAATCACATATATTTAAAGAATACCCAGAGATAACAAAATCACACATTGTATATCATATTCAGCATAGTTCATATCAATATAATACAAACATATCGTATCGTAAATAAACATCATACGGAGAAACAAATGTAACTATGCCCTTTTTTGATCCACCAACCGCGTTAAATCTCCGGACATTCACTTTTCGTCTTCTCTGTAACTATGCCCTTTTTTGATGTTGTCATATTATGTGACAAATCGTTTTCTAAACTTCTTCCGATTGTTTGACCGACGTACTTCTTGTATATTCGTGACTTTTGAAGTTTCGAATTATTCAGGTGTCTTACTTACTTACTTACTTACTTACGCCTGTTACTCCTCGTGAAGGAGCATAGGCCGCTCACCAGCATTCTCCATCCAACCCTGTCCTGGGCAATCCTTTCAAGCTCTTTCCAGTTCTTATTCATCCTTTTCATATCTGCTTCTATTTCCCGACGTAATGTGTTCTTTGGCCTTCCTCTTTTCCGCTTCCCTTCAGGATTCCAAGTTAGCGCTTGTCTCGTAATGCAGTTTGATGATTTCCTCAATGTATGTCCTATCCATTTCCATCGTCTTTTCCTAATTTCCTCTTCAGCTGGAAGCTGGTCGGTTCTCTCCCACAGTTGGCTGTTGCTGAAGGTATCCGGTCAATGGATGTTGAGTATCATGCGTAGACAGCTATTAATAAATACCTGTACCTTCTTGATGGTGGTTGTTGTAGTTCTCCAAGTTTCAGCTCCGTACAGTAGAACTGCCTTGACGTTGGTATTGAAGATTGTGACTTTGATATTGGTTGAAAGTTGTTTTGAGTTCCATATGTTCTTCAGTTGAAGGAATGCCGCTCTAGCTTTGCCAGTCCTTGCCTTGACGTCTGCATCTGAGCCTCCTTGTTTATCGACGATGCTTCCCAGGTATGTGAAGGACTCCACGTCTTCCAGAGTTTCGCCATCAAGAGTGATTGGATTGCTGTTCTCCGTGTTGTGTTTGAGGACCTTGGTTTTCCCTTTGTGTATGTTGAGGCCTACTGATGCAGAGACTGCTGCTATGCTGGCTGTCTTTATCTGCATTTGTTCGTGTGTATGTGATAGGAGGGCTAGGTCATCTGCGAAGTCCAAGTCGTTTAATTGGTTCTGAGCTGTCCATCGTATGCCGTAGTTTCTCTCAGATGTCAAGGTCTTCATAATCCAGTCGACCACCAGAAGAAACAGGAAGGGAGAGAGTAGACAGCCTTGTCTTACTCCGGTCCTTACTTGGAATGCGTCTGTCAGCTGTCCTCCATGCACTACTTTGCACTGTAGTCCATCGTATGAGTTCCGAATAATGTTGACAATCTTCTCAGGAACTCCGTAGTGTCGAAGAAGTTTCCATAACGTCCTCCTATCTACACTGTCAAATGCCTTCTCATAATCAATGAAGTTGATGTAGAGTGACGAGTTCCACTCAATTGATTGTTCGACGATGATCCGTAGTGTCGCAATCTGGTCTGTGCACGACCGGTCCTTACGGAATCCAGCTTGTTGATCTCGAAGTTGAGCGTCAACTGCGTCTTTCATCCTGTTCAGCAACACTCTGTTGAAGACTTTACCCGGTATTGACAGTAGTGTAATGCCTCTGTAGTTTTCACACTTGCTCAGATCTCCTTTCTTTGGAATCTTGACGAGGTGTCCTTCTTTCCAATCCATCGGCACTTGTTCCTCCTCCCAAATCTTCTTGAATAGAAGATGAAGCATGCTTGTAGTTACTTCGATGTCTGACTTCAACGCTTCAGCTGGTATATTGTCAGGTCCTGCTGCTTTCCCGCTCTTGATTTGTCTGACGGCCATTCTGATTTCTTCTGTCGTTGGTGGATTGACATTTATAGGAAGATCTGTATGTGCTGCTTCGATGTCCGGTGGATTCATTGGAGCCGGCCTGTTCAGGAGTTCCTCGAAGTACTCTGCACATCTGTTGCGCTGTTGTTGAATCTCAGTAATTGGTCTTCCTTCTTTGTCTTTGACTGGTCTCTCTGGTTTACTGTATTTCCCTGCAAGCTTCTTCGTCGTATCGTAAAGCTGTCTCATATTTCCTTCTCTTGCAGCTTTTTCCGCCGTCGTTGCTAGTTCTTCCACGTATTTTTGCTTATCAGCTCTAATGCTCTTCTTCACTTTCTTGTTTGCTTCTATGTACTCTGCTTGTGCTTGGACTTTCTCTGCTCTTGTTCGACTGTTGTTAATTGCTGTCTTCTTGTTCTTTCTTTCTTTGATCCTGTCCAATGTTTCTGTAGAGATCTATTCCTTGTGATGACGCTTCTTGGGGCCCAGAACCTCTTGACACGTTGAAGTTAATGTTTCTTTGATACCTTTCCAGCTATCCTCCATAGTAGTTTCTTCTTCCTTCAGTAGATCCTGTAAGGCTTGGAACCTGTTGTTGAGAGCTACCTTGAATTCATTGAGTTTGTCAGTATCTCGAAGGAAGGCTGTATTAAACCTTTGTGATGCTGTTTGTCCAGTTGTCCAGTTCTTCTTTAGCTTCAGTTTCAATTTGGCCACAACTAGGTGATGATCTGAAGCTATGTCCGCTCCCCTCCTAGTTCTCACATCTTCCATTGTCCTTCGGAACTTTTTATTGATGCAAATGTGATCTATCTGGTTCTCTGTGGTGTGGTCCGGTGAGATCCATGTAGCTTTGTGTATACGTTTGTGTGGAAATGTTGTACCGCCTATGACCAATTTATTGAATGCACACAGATTTGCAAATCTTTCCCCGTTTTCGTTTCTCTCTCCCAGTCCATGTAGTCCCATGATGTCTTCATATCCGGTGTTGTCCATTCCGACTTTGGCGTTTAGATCTCCCATCAGAATGGTGAGGTCCTTTCTTGGGCACTTCTCTATGATTGATTGCAGCCTCTCATAGAATTGATCCTTAACGTCGTCGTTGCTATCATTGGTGGGTGCATAACATTGGATAATGTTCATTGTGATCCCCTCCTTCTTTGTTTTGAATGATGCTTTGATGATTCTGGATCCGTGAGATTCCCATCCTACAAGTGCATTTCGTGCTACTTTGGATAGCATTAGAGCAACTCCCTGAGTGTGTGGAGCATTTTCCTCTTCGTGACCGGAGTATAGCAGCATCTCTCCCGTATTCAGCCTTTGTTGTCCAGCTTGGGTCCAATGGGTTTCACTGATTCCCAGTACTGCCAAGTTGTATCTCCTCATTTCCGTTGCTATTTGACTGGTCTTCCCGGTCTCCCACATTGTCCGGACGTTCCATGTACCTATAAAAATTGTTGCTCTGGTTGTTAGAAGGGGCATCGGC